ATTCTGGGAGTTGAAGTCCACTCATCTTAAAGTTGCCACGGTTGAGAAACACTGCTCTAGAACGCTCTGGAGTTGAGGAGCTCATGCAGAACGGAGCATTCCCTGAAGTAAACTGGATCAAAGCTTTCACCATGAGAAGCCACAGTGTCCGGGAACAAATTCTCTGGCTGCTGCTGCTGCTGCTTCTAAGACCATCTTGCAGTTTCTGGACTAGACTCAATGGCAGAACGAATCTTGGTCGTAGTTCTGTCCTTTTTAGGTCCTGTTTTTCTTGGAGGGGATACCATTAACCTGTCGTCTGAAGCTGCTAAAGCCATTTCTGGCCCCTCTTGATCCAAGCGCCCACTACTGCTTCTGGGAAACTGGGCCCCATGCAGAAGAGTGGATCTCCCCACTTACAGAATTGACTTCTTGATTTCACCTGCATTCCGTGTCCATGTATTACTCCTCCACCACCCATTGACCAACTGCAGGAAAGCATTGGGGAGGCACCTCATCTTGAAGGTGTTGCAGTAAATTGGTTTGCGTCTTATCGGCACCCTAGTAGCACCAGTTCCTAGATGATCTTCTGTGGTGGAGATGATGGCTTAGCATGTTGAGTGAATCCTATTAAATGCAGTTTGTTCATTAAGCCATGGTTAAGGCATGGGTTAGCACAACGTACAAGGTAGTTCTGTTGCGTCTGTAGCAGGAAAGCATGCATGTTTGGGTATAGCATGTCTGAATGCGGAGGCCCAGCTAGCAGGGGTAGAGTGCTTGTGCATGGCTTTGAATGTAAACAAGAGTCCTTCTACACACACACACACACACACACACGACCCATTCTTATTTTGCGAGTGAAATGACAGGGAGACGTGGCAGCCCAACACCTTGGCTGCGGCTGTTTGTTTATTTTATTTATTTATTTATATTTCAAATTTGGACACCACCCGTCTCACGAGGAAGTGACTCTGGGCGGTTTACTTTTAGGGTTGATGTTCATAACAGCTACAGCTTTTCAAAATAATGGTGCAGCGCGTGGCATGGAGAGCCCAGGGATTGAGGGGATGCCCCATTTCATGGAGGATAATAGGATTTTAGGAGAATACAATTCATGGAGGACTCTGTACTCTTGAAGGCTCCCCCACAGGGATGTGCCTTTAGCATAAAGGCTGGAAGCCCGTTGCCCAATGAAGCGAGTTGGGAGTGGTCTTCAGGCTGCCCGAATGCCTTGGAGAAAGAGGAAGAAGTTATCCATGTAACAGGGAGGTCGCATAACACAGCGCAGCGTTTGAGGTCCTCGGGAGCCAACCAGCTCCTTGCAGCTACGGCCATGAACGGCCATTCTTTCCTTGTACCTAGCGTCTGGTTTCCAGGTATTTGGGTAGATCTTTAAGGCCTGGCCAAAACCTTTTCTTGAGATTGTGTGTTTTGCAAGGAGGTTTCCAGTTCCAGCGCTAAATGTTTCGGTCAGAGTTCAGGTTTCTGATAGGAGATGGTTTGAATGTGGAGTGTACAGGCTGTTTTGGCCATATCTCAGGACAAATCACAATATGTACTGAATGTATCATGTGGGATTATTTTGACCTTTCACGGGGTGAAGCCTGTGGTGGAAATCCATTAACCACATCCCCAAGTCAAACTCCGAAGACTCAGCCCATGCAACTGGGTTAATTTACCTTTTCTTCTGTGGTCTCCTGACCATTCCTCCTCTTCTGTCTTTCCACTTTTGAATTTTAAAATTGAAAACTCCTGTTTCATTTTGTTGACATGAATCATAATATGGACTCCTTTCTTTATTAGCGTACGAGGAAGACTTTGAGGAGCCAGAAGGGAAGGGAGTGAGAGAGTCACTGTTGTGCACAGAACAGTTTGTTCAAAGTGAAAACTTTGTGAATGAGGTTAGAGCCCAGAGTAGTGTCGTATCCATGCATCATACTGTGATCATTGATGACGAATCTGGGAAGATCCTGGAAAAAGAAGGGAACTCTGAGGTTTCAAAGGAGGAAGAGGGGGATGGAGAGTACTACCTAGACCACAGGCCTGAATCCCATCTTGCACAGCCGTCATCTTTAGATTCTCATCCACTCAGTTTCATCTTCCAGCCTTCCAACCTACCAGCCTACTTCAGTGATATGGACGCTGATCCCTCTATTTCTGAAACTGAACGGAACCAAGAACTTATTAACCATTCAAATTCAGAAGAAAAAGCAGAGTTATGCAGCCTTAATGTTACAGAGAAGGAGACTGCAAAAAAGAAAACGAATAGGGTTCTTGCAGCGGGTTCCCAAAATGCTTCTTGTGTTGTTCTCGAAGATGTACAAAATCCAGATGTCAACCAGAACCTAAACCTGGGCCATCCCACACGCAGATCAGCCAGATGTGCTACAGCAAATAGCTTGGGCCAGCAGTCCTTCAAGCTTTCTTCATTTCTGGTATCCAAAGGCAGTTTGGATGAAATTCAGGAAAAAGGAGACTCCAATTTGCCAGAAATTCCTGAAGAGCCTGCTCCACCTGCCCGGAAGAAGACACGGACTTTCTACAGCGCTGGTAAGTTATGAAGAATAAATCATGACTGGTTTGTACAAGTTGGTACTATTCCCCCATGTAACCAGAAGCTCTTGGGACAGCTCCTGTCCTTCTGGTTTCCTTGTACTTCTGGGGCAGTTTGTGGTTTCCTCTTGTTTCCAGGCGTGCATTCTCACTTTGGAGAGCAGATGAATACCAGAAGTAGTGCTTGTCTCCTCAAGCCCTTGGCAGCCTTTTCAAACTCCTTGAGCTTCTTTCATTTAGCTGCAAAACTGATTCATTACCTGGATACACTCCAGCGCAGGATAATTTCTTTCCAGCCCTGCCTGGACCTTGTAGCTTGGAGAAACCAACAGTCACTGTTGGCCACTCGCGCTTCGGCCCCAGGTGGGCTGCCAAAAGGATCTAGAGGAGCTGGAAGGCGGAAGGTTGTCTCCTGCGGTCAGCTCTTTGAGGTAGGCCAGATCAGGAAACAGACCCCACAAGGATTACAGGAATACTACTTCATTGGTACAGGGTATAATAGCCGAATCTTGAAAGCCTGCCAGCATTTCCCTCTTACACCAAACAGAATCAGGATTTTTTCCCTCACACCTCCTCTTTTCCCAGGGCCGAGTGGTCGTTACTTCCCCTTAATGGTTCTCCCAATAACTCTCGCATTATTCCTTTATCAGGGTTGTCTCTGCATTCCTCCACACCTGCTCTGCTCTCTTGGCAGCTGCATCAGCTAATCAGCTGGCCCCCATTGTGAGTTTTTAGTGCGATGTGGCGTAAAGGGGGAAAAAAATATGGTTCTCTTGGACAGACGCATGTTGTGTGTGTGTGTGTTTTAAGTCAGTGAGTATTAATACAAATGCTTTTCAAGCTTAGATGTCTTTGCCTATGTCCCTAGCTTTCTGGTTCTCTTTCTTCCTGATTGCTTTGCCACGTTATTTTGTTAATTGATGACCTCCTTTCCAGAACAGCTAGAGGAACTGGAGAGAATGTTCCAAGAAGACCATTATCCTGACAACGAGAAGCGCCGGGAAATTGCTGCTTCAGTTGGTGTGACACCACAGCGTGTTATGGTGAGTCCTGGCGAACAGCAAATCTGATGGTTTGCATCCGTCTTTCCTGGTTAGCAATCCAGAGTTAAACAGTCTGGAAGCAAGCATCTCCTCCGATGCTCTTAGAGACACACAAAGTCAGGATGGCAACCAGAACCCAACTGTGGGGCACAGAACATGCAGATCATCCGGATGCTCTACAGGAAGCAGCTTAGGTCATCGGTCCTTCGAGCTTTATTCATTCCTTGTATCCATAGAACATGTTCTGGTTCCCTGTCCATCACTCCGTTTCCTTTGGGGGTAAGAGGGTTAGGCCGAAAAGGAGGAAAAAACAGGCCAAGAAAATAAGAAGAACTTTGTATAAATCTGTATGACTCTGGGTGGCATGAGACAGGAGAGAAGGAAAGGAAGCATAGCTACATCCAGTTTATACCACACCATTTCTAATTTGTACTATAGCTTTGTTATTCTTGTACCACAGCTTGATTCCACCATGACCACATACCACTTCATGAGCTGCATAAACAGCTTACACCTTCTAAAAGGCTTCCCTCTTGTTTTGGTCAGAGCAAGAGGAAGAAGGAAAGGTCAATCCAATCCCGGTGCTAAAATTCTAGCCATGATACCAGTCTGGACAGATGGTTTCTAGCTGAGAAATCTGGCATATGTCTGAAACACACCTACTCCGCCTCCCTGCTTTTATTAATACCTCCAGAGTAGCTGATGGGGTCATCCTGTTGCCTCTTCACCTTTGGTCACCTCCTCCTGAAGATGCCCTTCCTCAAGCGGTTTTCCCTCACTTGGAGAACAGGATCAGACTCTGTGCTTAAAGCAGATTCTCAGATTTAATGGATCCTCCTGATCTCCAAGTTGCTGTCAGTTAAAAAAAGATGTGACGGGAAAACACACTTTACTGATTTATTTGGGGTTGGTTGTTCTATCTCTCTGTATGTTTGAGGATCTTCAGTTTCAACTGTATGTTGAGTGGTGCCCTATGATCTTGGTGGTATATATAGCAAAATTATTGTGTTACAGCCTCTTCTCTTTAAGATGGTGCTTCTGATATTTATACAGGTAGTTCTCGTTTAGCAGCTGCCTTGAATAGCAACCATTCGCAGTTACGACAGTGATGGAAAAGTAACTTTGCAACCAGTTCTCACATTACTGCCTTTGCAGAAAGCTGAAGTAAGATTGTAAGCACAGTTGCAGTTTCACTTAGTGACCACTTCGCTTAATGACCGATTTGCTGGTCCCAGTTGTGGTTGCTCAATGAGGACTACCTGTATAATTTCAGGCAGCTGTGCCAGTGCTGCCCCCCCATGTTAGGATACAACTCCCCAAATTCCCAGCCAACCTGGAAGGTTGGATTAAGGGATGTGCACATCTGTCCATGGGCTTTGTTGACTAAGTATTTTTCCCTCTTTCTTAGGTCTGGTTCCAGAATCGCCGAGCAAAGTGGAGAAAAATAGAAAAGATGACAGTGAAAAGCAATAAGAAATATTCTTTTCCAGCGCCTGCTCTGTCGCTGGACCCTCAGCAGATATCACAAGGGTGAGCAGGCCTTGCATCTTAGCTTCAAGGCAGTCGTTGCTCTTTCTTAAGAGACCTGGAAGTCACTGAGCTGCCCAGCAGTTCATTGTTTTGAAGTTACCCAAAGAAGACCCTTTGTTGTTTTTAGCATCTTTATATTGCCTCATCTCACTGGCCCAATCCTGCTTAAGTTTTATTAACCACTTTGAGCATGACTTGTGGTGGAAAGATGGAGTATAAACCTCACAATAACTAACTTTGGCTGATGACCTGTTTCTGAAACCCACTGTCCTTCCTGGGGTGGATAGAGCTATGTTACTGCCACTGGGACAAACATTTTTAAATTGGGTTTTAAAGGAAGCCACAAAGGGGACACATTTAAACCTTCCCGAATTACCCGATGACTTATTCTGGTTTGGAACGAAAGCGCTACAGTAAATTAAGGCATTGTCTGTTTGCATCAGCCCGTGTAGTAGAGAAACTAGCCTCCCTCCAGAGGAAGTGTCCCTTTCTTCCTTGGGGTTCTTCAGAGGATCCCTTGGTAAGGAGAGTGACAATACTGTTTTCCGCAATAGGCAAGGAAGCCCAGTATGAAGCAGCAGAGAAGGTGGTTAGATGTCACATTTACCTTTTCTTTCAGCACGACTCTCTTGGCTGTGACTCAGCTATCTGACCCTGCGAACAGTCAACCCACCACAATCACAATGGGTACTGCAACGGTGAACTATTCTGGTGCACTTAGTGGACCGTCCATCTCGTTGGCCTCCACATCAGGTGAGATCTGTTACAGCTTATCGCCCTCTTGGATTTGCCTTGACTGGAGCGTCTCATGTTTCCCTTTCTCTCAAAAGCTGTTTAATTGCTACCTTCCCTCACTGTAAGACCATTTCACACATTATACAACATCACATTGACGTTGAAGCGTATGTGGTAGGAACGTTTAGCACATTCATCATTTAAGGTGAACCTACAAGACACCTTTGGCATACCATAAAAGAATATCTATCCTCACATCTATTATTTTTCTTTAGGTTTGGAAGTAGATCACAGAAGCGTGTATGGAGTTGAAGTATAACCACGTGCTGCTAGCAGCTGGGTTGTGTAAATGTTGAGTTCGTGTGAGATGAGGTTTGTCGATGAAATTGTTCAGGCCTTCAACACAGTTCTTTAGACGAAAAGATTATTACCAAATGTTCCTTCTACTCATTTTGAAGAAAAGAGCCGTTTTTCCCTACATCGCTGTTTATCTGGTGGTTCTGTACTGAGACCTATTTTTGGAATTCAGAATGAGAAATGGGTTCTGCATGGTCTGCCTTGTTGACAACCACACAGTGAATGAGTTAAATGAACACAATGCTGTCTAGATGCTAATTGTTCTAATCCTGTTTCAGTGGAGGCCTCCCTCTGGAGGTAGTAAGTGTCTTCATCCCTGTGTAGGTTGCGTGTCGTCTGAGCTGAGCAGGTGGAGGCACCTGGCCAGCCTCATCTGGGCTTAGATCTCAGTGGAGTTGGGCTTTCATTAATACTGGGATGGGTGATCCCCTGTCAACCCTTTGAGGCAGGCCAGGTCAGGAAACAGACACTGCAGGGGTTCCAGGAATGCTACTTTATTGTTGCAGGATATTCTAACAGAATCCTGACAACTCAGCAGAGTTTCTCTCTGCCCCCTTACATGAAACAGAATCAAGGCAGGGTTATCTTGAGTTTCTTTCTCACGCTTTCCACTTTCCCAGGACTGAGTGGTCATTTTTCCTCCCTTGACAGCTCATCCGTTTCTTCATCAAGGTTACCTCTGCATTCCTTTACATCACCAGGCCGTTTTAGGCGGTCAATGTTTTGGAAGAAGGCTGCGGCAGCAGCTTTACAGGAGATAGCCAGCCCTTTGAACTGAGCCTGGAAGCCTCGTGGCGGCCAATGCAGCCACCGTTAAATAGGCGTTACTTTGCAGTGCCAGGACCTGCCCACCAGCAGTCCGGCTGTCGTGCTCTGAATCAGCTGCAGCTTCTGGACTGTCTTCCAAGGCTGCCCCACATAGGTTGCATTGCAATAACCCAGTCGCACGGTGACCCACCGTTGCCAGACTCTCCTGGTCCAGGTAGGGTCATAACTGGGCAAAGTACCCTGGCCGTGGCTTCCATCTGCTGTTCACCCCCAGATCATGAACCTGCTCCTTCTGAGAGGAGGTGTGACTTAGTATTAGAAAACAGTATTAAGATAGTTAGGTAAGGTGGTGGTGGTTGTTTTTAATGGGCCTAAATTAGGAAGTGTGTCCTATTTCCAGCATAGGTGAAAAACTCTCCCCATTCCAATCCAGTCACTTTCCTGGTATGGACCCTGGTTAGCTCCTAGACAAGCAGGTGCAGTAAGACAACCCTCCAGTGGCCCGTATTGCTGATGTTCTCAGTACCTTGATAGCTCCCTCCTATAAGAAGTGAGTTAATCAGAGTTGAAGTCTGATGTTTCCCTTTCCCCAGGAATTGTCATCATGGTGAGCCTGAGGGAGCACGTTCACCTTCAGCTCCATCCCCAAAGAGTCAACCCAGCCTAGTCCCAGAGTGACATCCAGCTGAGCTTCCTGGGTGCCTCAGCTTCTCCAGGGCAGAGGTCTCAAGGGAAAGCAGGACTACACATTCTCACAGCAATAACAGTTTCAGCCATGAGATGGCACCATAAGACAATTGTCGTCTCTTAAAAGTTGAACTTTTACAATCAGGACCCACAGACCTATCTCTGAACGATGGCCAGGATTCCTGCCTCACCTGTCTCTTTTAAAAAAGGATACTTTAATCTACAAGTAAATAAACAGAAAAGAGGCAGGCAGGTGGGCAACACTCTTTCAGCAAGGTTTCTGGGTTCCAGGCTTTCTTGCAAAATAAAAATGGGACATGGGAGGCTGAAACCCATAGCTTGCTTTGGGCTGTTCTGAAACAGGAGACATTCTGGGCTTAGACGGGTGGGTTAAACCCGTTAAACCCTCACCAGTTTGCCTTGTAAGCCACACACACCCCAGATGCCATTTTGCGATTGTTCCTAGCGGACCAAAAGGGTCGGGGACGTCTGTTGCAGAAAGAGAAACTCAGCCTCAGTTTGGGTGGCACAATTTGCACCCAACCAGGAAAGAAAGAACGAGGTGGGAGGGGTTGGTCATCAACCCTTCTTTCTCCCCATTATAGAATTGGTTTATGCAAAAAGGAACGGATGCTCTTACTGAACCCTTCTTTAAGCAGCTTCCTTGCCTGAAAGTAATTAAGAATATATTAAGAAACACCTTAACAAAGATATTAAAAACAAAAAGAGAGAGACTCCCTTGGGCTTCTCTGAGGGGGCTTCAGGCTGGCATACTGGCAAGCTCATCCTGCGGTCCACCCTCCATCCCACCTTGATCATCAGATTAGCGTTAACTGATTATTCCTCCAAATACTCCCATTCAGAGTTGGACCTCGTTCTCCATTATGCGAGATCTGCAAGATCCAAAATGATCATTTGTCACCTCTCAGGTTGCAGGTCAGCCCTGGAAATCAGGGCCCCAATGATGGAGAAGAAAGTAATGAAATATTTGCATGAAAAATGCCAACCTCAGAAAACACCAAGAACCCACCTCGCTCATCTCGTCTTTCAGAATGAGAATGGCTTGTCTCTTTTTTGGAAAATATTTCTTGTACTGTTAAGTGTTCGATTCCTAACCACTTATTAAAGAAGGTGCTTTCTGGTTCCTAGTTGCATTCTGAGTCAGAATATAAGCCCTTTTCTATCTCCCTTCAAGAAGGTGAAGTTGGGCTGTTTGGAGGCAAAAGTACTGCATTCTGACTCAGTTTATCAAAGATGATCTTAAAGATGCCCCAGAGAAACATCTATTGTCAGGAACAATGGTCCCACAAGATAGGCCAAGTGACCTAGCTGTTAGGGCTTTAGCCAGAGTTTGGGGAGAAGAGCTTTCTTTTGTGAAGCCCTAATCTTGATTCATCAGAAAGATACAGAGCATCTTGGCTTCCGGAGGAAGAAATGGTGGAACCAACAACCGCAGCGGAATGAAGAGCCAGCAAGTAGACCAGCCTTTCAGTAATTTCTCTCCAGACAAGGAGAGGACTTGAGATGACCCACAAATGCTCCAGACCATTGCTCCTTACAAGGAGACCGAAAGGTAGCAGTGTCTGGTGGGTTGAGAGAGGAAATAGCCATCTTGCTCAAACTGCAGTCAGTGCCTTTGAAAGGACGCTAAGTTCGCAAAGTTCCTTTTCTAATCACTTTTGGAAATTGCTTGTTAGCTGCTTTTCAGCTATTAGAAACCTTTGGATCGACAAGTATTTTTACAACACCAGGTGAGTCTCCTTCAATCTGTTGCAAAAGAAGTTTTAAATACAAGTTTAAGGACTTTGAAAAAATTCTTCTTTTGGAATAAACAGCAAAAGGGTGATTAAAACTTTGATTCTAGAAAGTTACAAATGGACTAAGATCCAGATAAATTTGAAATAAGATTTGGGAATTAATTATAAAGAATCTTTCCCACGAGAAAATGCTTTTGTTCTGAATTTTTAAAAAAAACATAATAAGGTAAGATTTTAAAAATTGGACACTAGAGGGAACTAAAGATTTCAATTAAAGGAGAAGAACACATAAACTTGACTTACAATTACAGAATGGAGCAAAATATTCTAACATTGGACCTACTGAAGGATATTTTTGAAAAATGGACTCAGAACTTAATAGTGTTAACAGAGACATCTGCCTCTGTGGAGAGACTGGGTCTAAAAGATGTTATGGAAGAGGAACAAGTTATACCTGACAAAATCCAGACAAAGTTGAAATTGGGCTTCAAAATGACAGGCTACAGGAATGTCATGGAAAAAGACGTTACTCTGGACATACAAAAGAAACCGGCTGGTGTCTTAATAATTAAAAGGAATATACAAATAACAAACCAAGAGAGTGACTGGATAATTTTCCTGTGCTGGATTTATGAAAAAGGCTTGTTAAAATTTTGAAGAATCTCATGAGATGAGACAAAGAAAAAATGAAAAATCAAATTCTACGACATTATTTGAGTAGATTAAATATTAAGATTGTTAGAAGTGAAAGGAAGGAATATAAAGTTGGTTTATTTGATCAAGGTTAAAATAGATATGTTGTTATCTCTGGTAACCCTCAATGGATTTTTGCTGACATCAGGACTGAAACGACGATGCTTCATGGATTTGCTTATAGATAAGAGATGGGATATGGGATGAAGAGATCATTGGTTGTAATTTAAGAAGAAGTGACAGGTTACTAAAATTGTTTATACTTGTGATGAAGATAAGAAGTCACTTCTTTTTTCTTTTTTTCTTTTTCTTTATTCTTCTCCTCCTTTTGTATTTCTCTTTCTCTTTCTCTTTTTCCTTTTTTTCTTTTCTGCACCTTTGACTCTATTTTTTTTAGTTTGCAATAGTTTTTACTGTTGTAATTAAAATCTTTAATAAAATTACTATTTAAAAAAAAACAGAGCATCTCAAAACATTCTTCTAGGACCAAGGCTTCTCCAAATATGCCATAACATCAAGCTGAAAGATGAGGCATGACTTTCTGACTCTATCTAGCCTTTGTCCCTTAACTAAATGTACTTAATTACACTTATTTGGGGACAAAGTTTTAAATTTATGGAGATAAAAGTCAATGTGAAAGTATGCTAAATCCCTAGAAAGGGAACAATGCACCACCTTCAAGCATTCAAACAATTCCTTTCATTCTTAAAGGGCCTGACTTTCATTCCAGAGACTACAAACATGATGGGGAAGGAAAGAACTAACCCCTTTTCTAATCCTCCAGGGTCTTCATCCTTATGTAGTACAATTATTTATTGTCCAAAGCAAAATAAAGGGCTAGAAAATGTTGTGAAAGGAAAAGGTGAGGTAGCTAAGTATAAGAGGAAGAAACTTATGTTGGGAAAAGAGATTGGTGGAAAAAATAAATTGGGGGCATTATGTGCAAGGGAGGTGACAATGCCACCTCAAAAGAGAGGTATCACTGCAAAGTGAGCAAATGCCCGTCTGTTGCCTCTCCACCACCCCTGCTTGAAAGGGTCTTTCTGTTGACCTTTGAATACTCTGTTGACTCCTTGTACTTGGAAGATGTTCCTGAATCTTCCAGAAATGTGTGTTTCATGACTGGCTACGTGCATCAGGGGAGCTGTCTGGTGAGATATCCTTCCATGTTCTCTCTTCCTGCCAGCTGCTGGGAACTCCTGGTCTTTCCATTCATCCTTCATCAACAGCGCTCTTTTTCCTTTGCAGTCGCCTCCGTTACTGGCAAGACAGCCCTTTATGACTCCATCCAGACAAAAGCCACCTCACAGGGTTCCTTGGGATCCCTCAGGGAAGAACTGTTTCCTGCCATTCCAAGCCCTCCGCCAATTCGGAGGACCAGCCTTCCCCTCAACATGGTCTTTAACCCGAATCACCACATCGTTCCGTTGATGCTGGAGAACAGCCTTGCCAGCGAATGCAGCCCCCCCAGCCAGGAGAGCAGCCCCAGCGAGGCCTTCTCCTACAGCATCCAGAGTCAAAGGTAGGCAAGTGGCACAGATGCAAGAAGGGAGGCCTTGTCTCCGTGAAGCCATGATGATCCACCACCAGGAAAGAAAAGGGGGGTTGCACTCCATCGCTTCCCACTCTTCTTTGGAATAGCAGCCCAAATCAGTCACAGGGCCTTTCTCGGTCAGAAGGTGCATCAGGCAGTCTGCAGTATTAGGGTAGAGCAGTGCTTCTCAGCCTTGACTACCTTAAGATGTGTGGACTTCAACTCCCAGAATTTCCCAGCCAGCATGTGGAATCCAACAGCTGACCGCCCCATGGAATCTCTGCCCGTGGAAATATTGCAGCCACGCGTAGACCAGAGGCGGGGTAGATTGTCTTTGCACCCTTAATATGGGAACTGCTGACTTTGAGGTTCTCCAGGTCAGGAAACAGATTCTTCTAGAGGAGACCGGAGCTACACTTTATGGAGAGGGGCCAGTGTAACAAAACCTTGCAAGCCTGGCTGTGTTTTCCCTACCTTCCTTCTTATATTCCTGGGAGTTAGGGAGGAGCCAAGCCCAGTCTCTTCTGTTTCCCAGGGCTCAAGCCAAGCTTCTGCACACTTTATTTTTGCAGCGGTTTCTGAATAGTTTCTCCAGGGCTGCCTCCATGAGGCTTTCTGTGATTCGTTTATCATTCTCCTTTTGCCATGCCGTAATTTAAGCCTGACCTTTTCCCGGAGTGTGTAAAACATTTGCATGGTCTAGATATAAGGGAGTCCCTTTGAAATAACTTCAGTAATGTGATAAAGATTGATCAGTACTTCTGCTTCTAAACAATAACCAGCAATCTTTTTTCTTTTACCTGAGCATCAGTTCTCCCGGGCACTGCAGTTATCCTGAACAACTGGAGCCTACAATCAACCTTGAAGCCCCCTATTTTCACCCTAATAGCCAGTCTGGGGCGTACCAGTTTGGCCAGTATTCTCAACACGAGGTGCCTCAGGTCCACTTCCCGATCCATCTTTCTGGCAGTGCGTTGCCCAGTGTCCGACTCACAACAGCGACACCCAGTAAGTCCACAACGACCTTTTTCTCACTGCCTGGTAGTGGTGGACTTGTGACCTATGGAGCCACAGAGTGTCCTCAAGGCTTCCTGCAGAACCACGTAGGAGGTCACCTCCTAGTACAGCCATCAGCTGGGAGCTCAGGTGAGTGTCCCCTAACAGAAGTGTGCCCAGTATTGGGGGTTCTTCACCAAGGGTTGGGAAGAGGCACAGGAAGGCACTGTGCCTTCCTCGTGGCTGTGGTCTTCCACAAAGAGACTGTGGGTGATCCTGTCATTAGCCTTCAGCAACATGCAGCCAGCCTTGGCTGACCTTGGCAAGAGGGTCAGACTTGGTTGCTCCTGGGGGTGGGGAAGGGAAGAGCAAGCCACTTCTGTGTTGTTGCCAAGATAACTACAAGAAGTTGAGCTGAAGCGGAGGGAGGCTTTATCTGCGCCTCCTGATGGCAGATGAAGCCTTCCTCCGCTTCAGCTCAGCTTCTTGTAGTTATCTTGATTCTAGTTGGTCTTTAAACATCTAAGCGGGGTCAGGTCTGGCTAGGACTTGGATGGAGACCAGCAGGAAATACAGAGCAGCAGGCCAGGCTGGGAAGTCGAAAAACATCCTTGAAGAAGCCAAGGCAAATAGCAGCCAGGAAAACTGCATGGATGCCACCAGAACTGAAGGTTTCCTTGAAGGAGATTTAATCTTACTCATAACTCGGAAGGAGTCTGGTCGCGTCTTTTCAGGCTAACGCATTGCATTAAAAAGCACAAGCTTTTGTGAGCCGGACTTCTGACGTTTGGCTACTGTAGACTAACCTGGCTCTCCTCCTGCAATGCTGCCTTTATTCATGCAGTTTTTGTGTAACGTTTTAATAGGGGAATCTTTTAATGGAGGAATCTGCATTTCTCATTACGGAAATTCATTTGGTTATCACACGATGCCATAAAATCATGGCTTAGGACTGGATGTTTATTTCTTTTTTCAGAGCATTCGTATTTTAAACAGTCTTTGGCTTCTGTAAACAGAGAGGGAGAAGGGAAGCAGGAGAATGGAGGCAGCAGTTCCTAATGCTTCCTCAGTCCCCTGATGGGAGCCGCTGCTCAGGAAGTGGTCCTGCTCTGTCTCGCGGGGCTTCTGTGTGGGGAGAGGAGGGCCCCCAACTTCTCTGGGCAGTGCAGTCAAGCGGCTCAGAGGGGAGAGGGTTCTTCGGACGGTCCTGATGGCCTCTGGGTGGAAGAACTGGGAGACTGGCCAGAAAGGACCTCTTCTTGGGGAGGGCCGTCCTCCTCTCGTGTTGGTGCCTGACCCAGGCTCTTCGGCTTTCAGGCGCTCTGGGCACCTTCAAGTCTCCCAACAACTCGTGCGTGCTCTTCTTGGTTCTGGGCCCTTGTAGCCTCTTGCTTTTTCTGTGTGTTCATCTGAAAGTTTCTATTTGTGCGGTCCCCCCCCCCCCGCCTTGAGGAGAGGCATAAAACTGAATTATGGGATGCTTCAGGTTTGGTCTCCAGAAGGGGCTGGGAGTGTGTGGGAGCAGAAACGTAGCTTTGCTCTGTGGCCACGTAACACGGCGTCTGTTTTCGCGCAACAGGAGGGCAGCCACCTGGTCCTGGGGGAAGATGCACCTGACGAAATCTCAAAGCCCCTTCTGGAGATTGACCTTGAAACATGCTCAGCCGTAGCATAGAATGCCATTTATAAATGTAACCTGATGCAATAGGGTACAATACCATTAGTTTGAACTGTTTCTGGACTAGTTGAGTATTCCTGGTGAACAAGGGAACACTCTCTTGGGTGCGGATTAATGAGGCTCTTCTCTCCTCCTCCTTTCTTCAGGCTACATCCCTGCTTTTCAGGCTTTGCCCTGGAATGAGTTTTCTGTGCAAGGAGCCCCCTTTGCCCACCCGTTTTCCTCCCCGATACCGTTTTCCAGCTTGGCAGCGGCTGGCGGAAGCTCTGCCGAGCAGGCTCCCTTTGCCCCGAGCCAGACCCTGCCTGCCAGTTCCTGCCTCCTCCAGCTGCCCAAGCCCGCCAGGCCAGGCACCACCTTGTTGTTCAGCACCAAGCCGGCAGTGCCAGCGAATCTGGAGCCCCCGTCTCAGGCGCAGACCAGGATGCCAGCAGGAGGGGACTCGGACCCTGACGATGCTCCCCGGGAGGAGGAGAGCACGGCTGGGGATCCACTGCCAGGTTGGTGCAGAAGGAAGAGTTCACCAACGTCTCTGATCAAAACAAGAACAGTCAGAGTTTTTGTGGTTTTCTTACCCCCTCAAAAGAAGTCCCAAGAAAGAGCAAAGCATTTTGTGGGGGGGGGGGCAAAGCCTCTTCCCTCCCTGTGTCAGAAACGTTCCTGGCTGGTTGATCCCAGGAACGGACGCTCCTCTGCCGTGGCCTCGCCCTTCCTCACTCGAGAAGGGTGGAGGGTCTCTCGGCCAGATGCAAATTGGACGGGCCCTCCAGGCTGCGCACAGGGGATGCTCGCAAAAACACCGCGGATTCCAAGGCAGACAGGGCAGGGGGAGTGTCCGCAGGGAGGGGGTCAAAAACGTCAAGGCGGTGGCCACCTCCATGCCATTGCAGCACATAAAAAGGGGTGGGGCTTTGATCCCATGGCTGTGGGCGCCACCTTGATTTTTTGACCCCCTCCCTGTGGATACTCCAGAAGGTGGCGGGCAGGAGCTCCTTCGCTCTCCAGCCTGCTTCCACAGAGGCGGCCCACTGACAGAAGCACCAAGGAGAAGACCTGCTCTTCCTGTAGACATTGCACTGCACGGCCCCCTTCCCAGGCCTGTCCGCGCTCTTGCCGCGGCAGAAAAGCCCGGCTGCCACCTTGTAGGGACCAGCTTATGTGCATAGTTTCTGAAGCCCCTTAGCAGGCAGATCAAGAAGCACCCTGAGCTGGCTGCTCCCCTTCAGGCCCCCTAGAAGAGAGCTGGGGCCCTCCTGGCTGGTGGTCCTCCCAGCCTCCCTCGACCCCCTCGTGACATGGAGGGAGAGCAAGCAACTCTCTGGGTGCAGCTGCGCCCAGCTCAGGGACTACAGTTAACACGAGGTATCCCTTTAAGTTAAATGGTTTCCTGAATGGAGGGGGGGGTGCAGATACAGAAGTGAGATGGTACTGAACTGGGGGGCTCCCTGGAGAAAGGATGATTACTGGAGTACTTCTTCATGGAGCTCTGACTCCGTTGTCTTACCGTGTTGATCCCATGGTTGGTCTTTGAGGACCCCACCCACGGGATTCCCATGACCCAAACCATCACTTGGATTGCCTGCCCAGATCAGCCCCATTCCCTGGGCTGGCTCCCATACTGCACTGCCGGCAACAGAGAAAGGAGGCCAAGGGGGCATGGGCCGCCACATCGGGGGCTTTGCGGACAACCAAAGCCCCCGTTTTGGAAAGAGCGGCTAAGCTCCCAAAGGACCCGCCCATTCAATTGCATGTTGTTTTTGACCCTCCTCCCCCAACCCAGACTGCCCCTTCACAAGATTGTCCTGACTCCCTGGTCCTTATCCTTTCAGATCTCTCTGAAGAGAGCAAGAACTGACTCGGCTTTTCTCCTGGAAAGGCAGGAGCGATGAGGACGCGGCCTGAGTCTCGTTAAGGCTCCTTGCAAGATCAGCAGAAGCGTTACGTGCTTCAGAAGCAAGCCTCCTGGAACTCTGGAGAAAGGGAAACTACCAGTATCATCACTACAGGACTTGTTCTTATTGTTGCTGCTGCTGCTGCTGTTGTTGTTGTTGTTGTTGTTATTATTATTATTATTATCTGCTGAGAAAAAGAAGCGGCAATAAAGCCAATCTAGTTCTTTCCTTTACACCCAAGAATTGTTACACGCAGTTCTTCCAAATGACTTTTAGACGCTGATGAGCAACCGAGTGTCCAAAAGGTCCGGAGGGTGGGCGTGAAAGCGTGATGAGAGCACCACCTATTTGGCCACGCTCTGCAGACGCCGCTGCTGGTTGCGCTGAAAAGAGACGCAAAACTGGTTCTCCTGGTGTGTGCTCAGACCTACTTTTGTAATGCTGAAAGGGAGATTTCTCTCCCTGCTGTACTCTCATTGAAACCTGAGCTTGGCCTCCAGACAGTTTCCTGAGTTAGAACAGAAATGGCGAACTGAAAAGGGTGCTCTGTTTCTCTCTTTCTTGTCTCTCCTTTTAGCATTTTTCACTTGCTAAAATTGCTTATCCACCGCCGCCGCCACCATCACAATAATGGCAGAAGAGTAATTGTGACGCAAAGGAGCCCTCTTGTTTTGTGTCCACTCATCTTCTCTTGTGTATCTACTGGGCTTACACACCCTGCAAAGTGGCCTGTCTGGACGCTCCCGGAACACCTCTCTGAGTGGAGATTCTGCGTTACCCTCTTCAGCTATCTTAAAATCCTGAATCTGGCTTCCCCCTTCTGCTCTCCCTGTATTAAAAGAAAAGGGATGAGTTGCTTCTGTCCCTCAGTTGGGTTTGAGGGGTGGAGTTAGTGACTTCAGTGTCCCTTTCACACTTAGGACTTTGAAATACCTGAAGGTCAAGTGCTTATTCCAGTAACAGTTGAAGGGTGGGGTGCTAAGGAAGAAGAGAGAAACCATGCTTTTGTCCCCAAAGCTGGTCAACTGTTGAAATGTGATTGCATCACAATCATTCATGCACAGATTTAATCTCAACTTCCTGCAATTTGAAGCACTATCTTCATGACCATGGACTACAGTTCCTCAAAGAAAGAGTTTAAAGAAGGGAGGAGGTGGAAACCACTGAGCAACTGCAGTGGGTAGATACGGAGAGAGAAATCTTGAGGATCGGCACAGAAAGCTGGATGTGCCAGGGCTCTGTTTTTAGGGCAGCAGCTAGGATTGGCCACCTCTTGCTACTGCCGAGCCTGCGGATGCTGTCTTGAGCAGAAGACTTGAGTCCCGCTGAGCGTTTCCCAGGTGGTGAGTGCCTCCATTTCCTTGAGGCTCCACTCTCAGCAAGAGGCTGCCTCTTGACCATTCGAAGAATGGCCGCAAGGCCAGCCCTGCCCAGGAACGCTTCTGCCCCCAGAGGAAAACACTGGTGCACGGGTTGGCCTTCACAGGAACGTGTACCCTGATTGTGTAGAGAGAGGGCTTGTGTGGATGCAAACATGCATACGAGTGCGTACATGAAGGCATTCCTCTACAGACCTGATAAAAGTATGGATGTCCTGAGAGGGCCACGCATTGGAGCAAAGTGGGTGGGCAGAGCTGAGCTCAAAAGCTGTCGGGGGAGATGCCCCACGTTTTCCCAAATGCTGAATAAGGCTCAGATTCATCCCTCAGTCACTTTGTTTCCATGCTTAAAAAAAATGAACCAGTATTAAAATTGTTACTTCTTGTTTTAGTATGTGCTCTTTGCTTTATATTACCTTTTACATTGATCTGCATAATATTCCATTTAGTAACTTATTCCCATCAGTTTAATTTCGTGTTTTAAAAAGCTGTGTTGAAGAACAGATAGACCATGGTTCTGTGGGCTTGCATGACTGGACATTGTATCTGAAGGGTTGAAGAATTGCCTTATGTCTGGATTGTCAAGGAAAACAGAAGCTCCTTCAGAGCACTGTTTGAGACTGTATTAAATGGCCACTGCGTCAAGGTTACTTGCCCTCCTTTCTTACCAAATCATAACTGTGCATCAAAAGCATAGATGTATCATCAGCCTTATTTTACAGATGTGTTGAAGATGCAGTCAGATTCCATTCTTACAATGAATTATTTGAAATATTTAAATAAACAGAACTGCTTCCAATGGAAGAGAATATCTGTAGCTCAGGGTTGAATTGTGGAGTCCTTGGGGCTCTCTGAGCTTGGGTGTTTGCTTGCAGACGTTTCGTTACCTGGCTAGGTAGCACCTTCCATGCTAGTGAATGTGGGGTTTGCTCCCTGCTTATATACAGTAGCTTGCCCTGCCAGTGTTGATGGGGGTGTGGTTTTATCCTTGGTAGTTCCTTGATTAGGGTATTGTTTTCTGCTTGATTGTTTGTCTGGTGTTAATCCCTGCTCATCTGGGTGTAGGGTGCTGGAGGGGACGTGTTCTGGTCTCTTTGTTTCCTTCTTAGCTTTTTTATTGTCTCTTGAACAGTGTATAATACACATTGACTCCAATTGCCTCTTATGGCTTTGGACAATTAAGGGTTTCATGTAATGCTTAAAAAGTTCACAAAATATAAAACACAGTACAAACAATTTAAAACAATTTAACAGTAAGAAGGATGGAGAAAAGAGAAAAATTGTGAACAAATACCATTCGTTAAACTGCAGAGTTGCAAGGAATCACAAGGGTCATCTAGTTCAACTCTCTGCAGTGGGCCAGAAAACCAGTTAAGCCACCCTTGAGAGGCCGCCATCTGGCCTCTTCTCCATAAAGGGAGAACCCTCTATAGGTTCCTTCCTCTTGGAAAGGCCTGAGCAAAGAGCGCGTGGATTTCAGTGACAGCATCCCAGAGCGAGGCATTATTCCAAAGAGAGTCTTCTCAGAAGCACTTATGCGCATTCTTCCCAAATGATGCTTTAGATCAGCCTCCAGCCTGCCAAGATGGGTGGTCCAGCACATCTAGAAAGTTGAAGGGGAAGAACTTGATCTGATTTAGTATCTTTAACATGATTGGGCTGCCCTACTTACATGGAATTAAGCCTCGTGGAACTTAATGGAGTTTAACTGTCAGTGCAAAGGACTGCATGCTTAAAAAACAAAACAGCAGCATTAACATTTTTGAATGCGTCCAGGCACCACGTTTTGCCACAATAATTATTATAATGGAATGAAAATGTTTGGCTAGGGAAAACATTAGCACGTGGAATAAGCGATGCAATATGACAATGGATACAAGACTGACCTTATTTTAAAATTTAATATCTGGGGAAGATTGTGTAGAGACTATGGAAGATGACCTTGACGGAGATGTGCAGAAATGGTTACCTCGGCAAAAGAGGCTGGAACATTTTTCAGTCTAGAACAACAAGGTAACATCTGGAAGTGGCTCAAGCAGAAGGAGGAGGAGGTCCGGCACAATCAGACTCTCGGTAGCCTTCCTGGGGAGTGGATTTCCATGCTGACTAATGGGGCTGACAGACTGGAAGCTGAAGTATGGATTTAAAGTGACAAGTTGGTTGCCAGCCATTTGCCACATTTATTCTCCAGGACACCTCTCCGCCCCAGGCACTTTCTAAGGCCCCAGAGTGAGCCTGGTGGACCCTTGGAGGCCAACACTTCACTCTGAAAGGGTCCTAGATCCTCAGTGGAAACGAGGCAGGATCCAATCCCCAAGGATGTTGTTGTTGTTGCTGAGGAAGGGTGCTTGAGGATGGCAGCCCAGGAAAGTTCAAATATCTCGGAGGAGGAGGAGGCAAAGGAGGGAGGGAGGCTAAAGTGGGAAAGGCAACAGATCAATAAGGAGGGGTTGAGGAGATTAGGATGAGGTCTAGAGTTCAGGTTCGTGTGTTTCTATGGGGGGATGGGGATATTAAAAAGATTTGGTCTGCAAAAGGTCAGATGGCTCTACATGATAACAAGGATTGGATCGTCCTCCGTAATTTTTGCTGCCATCTCATGTTCATTTGGATATCTGCAGCTCAGGTTGGTAGTCTGAGGATTAACTTGAAGATGATGACAGAAAGCAAATCACAAGGTGGATTTTGTCTTGTAGTCTTGATTTTTCATGAGAGAGAATTGTCTATTTGGGAGTGCTAATCCTATTTCTACGTTGCAATTAGGTTTGGGGCAAGTTACTTAGTTATTAGCCTTCACAGAAGATGAATTTCTGTTGGACTGGGTAACTGGGGGTCCAAATTTGTAGGTAGGTATTTGGGAATTAGACCTGATATATGCCATAATTTAATGACCCTGAGAAGTTCCTTCTCCTTTTGCTTCAGCGGATTGCCTTTCTTTGAATTGGGTTTCTGTAGCAGAAGAAATACATTGTGTGTGTGTGTGTGTGTGTGTGTGTGTACTTTGTAAAAAAAGGACAGCAAATAGAAAGCTGCTGATTCCTGGCTGCTACAAAGGCTAATAATTTTTCAAGGGTCACAGATCATCAAACAAAAGTTGTACCTTGCTTGTGAATGACGATCTTGGTGTCCAGGGTGCCAGAAGAACATAAGGAAAGATGAATGAAGTATTGTTCTGGATTCAAGGTTCATCTTGGTAGACCCTTCAGATGTGACTCTTGGCCCAGACAGCTATGAAATCTAGTTCTTCCAGTGTTTGGGGCCAAAAGATCAGTTGGTCTCTACACAATTCGGCCCAACACAACAGAGATTAGTTTGTTTGGTGGAGCAAGTTAACTTCCTCTTTAAAATTGCAGGGAATTCCTTATCTTTTGGAAGGCTGGCATTTCCTCAGTCAAATGTTATCATCCAGAGACGGGAATTAATGTATTGCTCTTGATGGATGTATCCTGTACAAAATACATTAGCCTTTAACAAAATATTAAGGCAGCAAGTTAGAAGTGAGTCACAGCGGCTATTTGAGAAGAGAACATGTTTATCCTCTAGCTCTTTTTGTGAGTCAGGCAAGAACCAATAATATTCTTCTTTTATAACCTATTTAGTTAAGTAATTACTCTCAGCAGTCTCCATCAGAGGTGATGCTATTACTATGTGTTATGATTAATAACACTGGCTTGGAACGATGCTGGTACTGTCCGCAACCTGCTTGTTTCACACGCAGAAGCTGTCCTTTCATGACACTGGCCCTGTTCACACAGCACACTTGCCCGTGGGGTCAACCTAGTGCCAGTAGTGGATCCTTCTAGGGCCCCTGCGCCCAAGGGCTGAGAGGCAGCAGGGGGTGGTTCTTCCTGAACCAATATCACCAGCACGGCAGCAGCCCTGCAGCCTGATGGCCCAGAGCAGTGTTTCTTAACCCTGACAATGTTAAGATGTGTGGACTTCAAGTCCCAGAACTCCCCAGCCAGCAT